TACATTCTCTTCTGTTACCTGACTTACATATCTTCTCTGTTCAGCTCTGTACAGTTGTATCCCCACTGTCTCATTTCTTACTTTCAAATTCCACAGAAGGAAATCTGGTTGACTCAGCTTGGTTGAGCCAGGCCATGAAAATTTTAAATTGCCAACCAGACAGTAGATTGGTTAATCTTTGGTTATATGTTTGTCTTTGGCCCAATCAGCTGTGTTCTGGGTGAAGGATCATGTGGTCTACCCCACACAGGAGGGAGTGTGGTTGGGGCATCTAACGACAGTGATGTCAAGTGTTGTCTCATATATTGTACTTGTAGTCTAGTGCCTTAGAATACCTTGAAATATGATCATCCCCCTTTCATTCTCTGTATCTTCTTTACTCGCCACTTCACCCCCAACACACAAACACCAAAGTGTGAGTAGGAGATGCAGGATTTTTTTCTTTTTATTCATTACTTCATTCATTACTTCATACAATGCATGAATGTCCACAGTATGCCAGTCAACATGTGGACAAAGCAGTGAATGAAGTGAACTAGATAAGAGCCTTGCTCTCATGGAACCTACATTCTCCATCTACACTCTAGATGGAGAGATAGGTAGTAAAGAAGTAAGTAAATTAACAAGAGTTTTGGTAGTTGTTATAAAGAGGGGGCCTTCAGAAGAGATATTTGAGCTGAGACTTGTTTGCCCATTTCATTATCAGTAGCCTTAAATTCTTAAAGCTGGTGGTGCCACACTGAAGGTTATAATTTTGTTTACAATATGTATAACAGTTTCTAGAAATGTTTACTCATTTGTATTGTTTAGAGGTTTTATTTTTTTTTTTTTTTTTTTTGAGACAGAGTCTTGCTTTGTTGCACAGGCTAGAGTGAGTGCCGTAGCATCAGCCTAGCTCACAGCAACCTCAAACTCCTGGGCTCAAGCAATCCTCCTGCCTCAGCCTCCCGAGTAGCTGGGACTACAGGCATGCGCCGCCATGCCCTGCTAATTTTTTTCTATATATATATTAGTTGGCCAATTAATTTCTTTCTATTTATAGTAGAGACGGGGTTTCACTCTTGCTCAGGCTGGTTTCGAACTCCTGACCTCGAGCAATCCGCTAGAGGTTTGTTTTTATTTCTAAGTTTTTGAAGGAAAAAAATTCTGTTTTTTCCTCACAAAGATTTTGAAGATAATTAGTGTTCATGTACATGTTCTCTCATTATTTACATAGTTTAAATTAAAAGTATTCATTTTAAATAGAGCTTTTAAAAGGAGAAAATGAGTGACTCCGTGCGTGTGTGTGTGTGTGTGTGTGTGTGTGTGTGTGGTGTTGTGTATGTTTGAAGAGTAGATGAGGATTGATGATAAGGACATGGGAGGCTACTACTTTATTTGTCTTTCAGTCTAAGAATTTTCCCCATTTTCTATAAGACTAAAAATAAAATTTTTAAATCATAATGATTATTGTTAAACATGTAGGCTAATTACTAGAGGGCTAAACAGGCTACATAGGATTTGTATTTTACATATAATGTTATTGTAATAAAGGGTATTAGTGTCATAATGTCATTAGATTTTTATTTATTTATTTATTTTTTTTTTTGAGACAGAGTCTCACTTTGTTGTCCAGGCTAGAGTGAGTGCCGTGGCGTCAGCCTAGCTCACAGCAACCTCAAACTCCTGGGCTCAAGCGATCCTCCTGCCTCAGCCTCCCGAGTAGCTGGGACTACAGGCATGCGCCACCATGCCCGCTAATTTTTTATATATATATCAGTTGGCATTAATTTCTTTCTATTTATAGTAGAGACGGGTCTCGCTCTTGCTCAGGCTGGTTTTGAACTCCTGACCTTGAGCAATCCGCCCGCCTCGGCCTCCCAAGAGCTAGGATTACAGGCGTGAGCCACAGCGCCCGGCCTAGATTTTTTATTTTTTAAGAAACAGCGCTCTTGCTATATTCCCCAGGCTGGACTTGAACTCCTGGATCCAAGTGATCCTCCCACCTCAGCTTCCCGAGTAGCTGGGACTACAGGCATGAGCCACCATGCCCAGCTTGAATTTTTTATTAGAAATTGCTAATTCTAATAACCAAGCTAACTGGGAATTGTAAATTGCATTCCTTATAAATCTGGTAGATCATGTAAATGGACAGTCAGAAGGGGAGTAATATAGACAAGTAAATGTGTTTATTTCTTCTCTCTTTGGTTTTTTTCTTAATTAAAGGAAATCAGTGAGAGTGGTATCTTGAGTTAAACAACTTTCCTTCTAAGATGATCTCATTTCCAGTCAGTTTTATCTCAATATAATGTTATTATTATATTGAGATTATACTTCTAAACAGTTTTTTTCTTCAATAATTATTATTCATGGCCCACTTCCTTCTAAAAGGGAATTGTAGTGGCAAAAAGTCAGTTTTTAGTGTCTAACAATAGAGGATTCATTGACTAAGTTATGCTATAACTGTGCATTGGAATGGTAGTGTTCAGCCTTATGCTATAGAGAGAAGGCATCCCTAACTCAGAGGGAAGGAAGAGAACTGACAGCAGCCAATGAGACTGCATGTCTCCACTATTACTTGCCACTTTGGGGAGCCTGGCTCTAGACAGATAGTTGAGTTTGTCAATAATTCTTCATGGAGAAATAATTTTCAGTGAAGCTCTTAGAGATTCGATTTGTGACTTACGAGAATATTACTGATGTAGGCAGAGCCAGGGAAAGTACACAGCATGGTGGTAGCACATCATAAAAATGAGATGAATAATGCAATAGCATGAGTAATGATATGAAAGGTGTTCATACTGTATTCAGATCATTGGAAGTAGTTCCTAAAATCTGAGTAGTCTTTTACTCAGAGTTAAACATAGTGTTCAAGCAGATGTGTCCCCAGGACTCAGCAGAAGCCTCTGTTAAGAAAAAAGATATTAACAGTGGTCCAGATAACAGTTCTGACAGATACCTCTGCATATTCAGGTATGATTTGCCTGGAAACAAAAGCTTCCAGCTTTTTGCAGTGAACATTTAACTTACATTTATGTATAGTCTGCTACTATAAAATAACCTTATTCATTGACACAACCTGTAATGGCAGTTAAGGCAGGCTTTGTAAAGCTCACTTCCACCACCATGCCTGCTCTCACCCTGCTGCTAGCTGTGGAGTTGGAAAACTTATTCTACGGTGCCATTTGTAAAGTGATACAAGACCTCAGAAATTATATTGCCCATTTGTACTATTTACTAGTAAAGGAACTCAATAGCAAGGTGAAAACAGAGGGAGAGAATGTGCTTTTTTATGTACTTTAACTTTGTGTTTTACCTCAAGTTCTGTCTTTATTTTTTTAGTTCTCTGCTCCCTGCTTAAATAATAATCTGTACAGATCAGCCCACATTTTGGTTTTTATATTTGGTTTGGATCTTTACATATTAGGTAGGAAATTATGTACAAAAACACATATAGGGGAAATGAAATGTCTGGAAAACAAATAATAGGAAGTGATCCAAGAGAAGACAGTACATGATAAGTTTGACTTAATATACTGTGACAGAACCAGGGTTCACAACCCTGGTTTCTTATTAGCATTATCTGGGAAGTTTTAAAAAAATACATATTCCTGGGGATCAGTGGCTCATGCCTGTAATCCTAGCACTCTGGGAGGCCAAAGTGGGAGAATAGCTTGAGGCCAGGAGTTTGAGACCAGCCTGAGCAAGAGTGAGGCCCCATCTCTATAAAAAATAGAAAAATTGGCTAGAGATGGTGGTATGTGCCTATAATCCTAGCTACTCAGGATGCTGAGGCAGGAGAATCACTTGAGCCCAGGAGTTTGAGGTTACAGTGAGCTATGATGACACCACTGTACTCCAGCCTGGGTGACAGAGCAAGACTCTGCCTCAATTAAAAAAAAAAAATGCCTAGGACCCATCACAAAAGTTTCTGTTTTAATTGGTTTAAAGCAGTGACTAGGTGTATGTATGTGTGTGTATGTGTTTGTGTGTGTGCATGAGTATTAACCCTCTCCACAATCTCCCTAGACTATTCTACATGCAGCCAGGAATGAAAACTGGTAGATTATATGTTTTCTGTTTACCTCTAGAAAACAGAAATATCATTGAGGGAAAGGTACAGAGTAGAAAATTTCAATTTATAATGAAGAATATTCTAGTAATTAGAACATTAATGTAATCCATGTACACATATACATGGATTAACCACTTGTGAGAATGCTTTGGAGATGACTGCTTTGCATGTAGGACTTGGTTGTTCCTTAATTTTTAAAAAATGCTGCTGTGCTTCTGCAGATTTGGCATCAAACATGCTAAGCTCAGTTTTGGTCATACTGACTTTGAACCATCTGTGGCACATCCTAGGTGGAGATGTTAGGTGACTAATGGCTCTGGAGCTCAAAAAGAGACTTGACTGGGAGAACATCAGTAAAAGAATAGTAGTGGAAATCATCATCTCCATATTGTTCTTTGTTCATTTCATCCATTTCTTAAAAGCTTACCATATATTATTAGTGATGAACAAAACAGATATAGTTCTTGCCCTTGCAGCCAAAGATTCTTCAGCCCTCATCGACTGAAGAATCTTTACAAAATTACCTGGCAACTTCTTAAACTATCATCTGTGTGAGCTAGATTGCTGTGGCAGGGCTCATGGTTGCAACTGGATTATAAATTTCTCAAGAAAAGTTTTTCCTAATTCATCTAAATGAATGAGAATATATGCAGACACTGAGGTTATGGAAAGAGAAAATCTGGTGGGGATTTCTAAGCCTAGAAAATAAAATCTTAGAGAAGGATCTCTAAGGTCTGTTTTATTTATAATTTGCTTTTTTCTCTTTTGCTGTTTTTTCCTTTCATCTCTTTAATTTTTCCTGCTTTTGTAATACCATTATTATCAGTTCCTGAGTACAGAGATTCTTAATAAACAATTTTTTCCTAGTACCAGATTTTTAAATTTGGTAATGTACTCTCAAAGACTTACTGAAGATATGATATTAATGTAATTTTAACAACTACAGATACCGTGAAGCAATTCAGAAGTGGGATGAAGCATTACAGTTAACCCCAAATGATGCTACCCTGTATGAGATGAAATCACAGGTAATAATTATGAAGAATTTCACTTTCATTATGAAATTGTCACTATGTTTGTTTGGTGAGCAATGATGAACCCAAATGGCATTTACTTCCATTTTCTTTTTCAGATACTATTTATTTGGAAAAAAATACTTCATTATTTATGGCTCTGCCTTACATATAAAATTAGAAATTCATTTGCCTTCACAATGAAGTTTTATTTCAACCTAACTATTATAAGATATGAGCAGAAGGATATCTTTTAAAAAGTCACAGTAATCTCTAAAATAATCAAAAGTGTCTGTTTTCCTTGTGATTTAATTGTGGTAGATTTAGCATTTAGCTCAGTTTGCTTTAAAATGAGGATAGGTTGGTTTCTGGATGAGGCATCTCTAAAAATGGCTTGGTCCTCAGCAAAAGGTCAGAATACATGCAATTTATTAATAGTTTAAAAATAACATTTGTACCTTAAAAATACATTTCTAATATTTTGTGGGAAAGTTTATAAAGAAAACCTCTGAACACTTGGATTAGGTTATCTAAGAGACTTTAAAAGTCTAAAACATATTTTAACATATTTTTGCCAGAGAATGGTTGCAATTCAGTCTTGATCTGCACACCTAACAAGTATTTTTCAAATGATCATCTAAAACATTTGACATGCACTTTTTCAGCTTTGACATTAGTTTGTCAAGGAAAAACCAAAATAAATTATGTCTGATGAATCAAGTGCTATGAGGTCCTTCATTTGGATTCCTTTAGTTTTCAATCTTAAATATGTATATATTAACAGCGTTTGTAGTGAACTGTATGAAGAGTTGTTTAATTTGGAACCTAATAACTATGTTTGTGTCACAAATTTTTTAAAATGATGGTCCCAAATATCACAGATAAAATTCAGAACCCTTACCACGAACTAAAGTGGAGGATGCTAGAACTGTCTGATTTTTATGATTTCTATGGTTTGAAAAGCCTAGTGGTGAGTAGGCCGGTAGAGTGTTTGAATGATTTTTATAGCAGAAAGATTATTCATTAGTGACAGGATTGCTGGTTGAACAAATTAATTTGCCTAGTTTGACAGCAAGTTTTGAGGTTCCCAAAAAACTACATCATAAATAGAGTAAGTAATGGAATTGAAAGTTCATAAGCTCTGACCCACCATGGCTAGAATATGACCACTTGGTTTTGACCAGATGGACAAAGGATTCAATGACTGGGAATGGAATAGTTTATATTTTCATAGTTATTTCAGGAGTGAAAAGAGGACTGTAATTCTTGACCCCGAATGGCAAAGGAGGGGGTAAAAACCACTAAAATGCTGTTTACCAGACTAAAAATATATTTTAAAAAATGAAAAGGGTTGTTTATATATGGTTATCCATCAATACTTTGCTAGTTTATGAATATTACTGACAGGATTTCCCCCCCTTTCTGGCTTATAGGTCCTAATGTCTCTTCATGAAATGTTCCCAGCAGTGCATGCAGCCGAAATGGCTGTTCAGCGAAATCCACATTCGTGGGAGTCTTGGCAAACTTTGGGACGTGCTCAGCTTGGATTGGGAGAGATAATCCTGGTAAGGAAGTCAGGATTATTAGAAAGTTAGGATCATGTTGAAATTTTATTTTGATATGTTTTTGATCACCTGAACCAAAAAGTAAATAGCCATTTATCAAATCTTTGTAAAAAATAAACAGCAAATTACCTCTTAAAGATATTATTAATCCATAAACTTTAAAGTTATTACCAAACATCTTTTCTTTATTATAAACATCAGTTCAGGATCAGAATATTTGTCATCATGGGAATTTAAAAAAAATTGACAAAAAACATTGTCATTTGGTAAACCAAATATAAGTAATGTAATTTAAAAATAGGTAAAGGATCTGAATAGATACTTTGCCAAAGAAGTTATACTAATGCCCAAAAGGCACATGAAAAGATGCTCAACATCATTTACCCATCAGGGAAATGCAAACCAAACCACATAGAGATACTACTTCACATCTCATAGGATGGCTGCCATAAAAAAGATGGACAATATCAAATATTGATGAGGGTGTGGAGAAATTGGAGCCCTCATACATTGCTAGTGGTAATATAAAATGTTACCCAAGAGAAATGAAAACACATCTTCATATAAAAACTTGTACATAAATGTTCATAGCAGCATTATTTATAATGGCCAATAAGTGGAAACAACTCAAATGCCATCAACTGATGAATGGATAAGGCAAAATGTGGTGTATGCACACAGTGGAATATTATTCCGCAATAAAAATAATTGAAGTATTGATACGTGTTACAACATAGATGAACCTTGAAAACAATATGATACATGAAAGCAACCAGACACAAAAAGCTACATATTGCATGATTTCATTTATATGATATAGACAGAATAGGCAAATTTATAGAGATGGCAAGTAAATTAATGGTTGTCTAGGACTAAGGTCTTGGGGAAAAATGGGAATGACTACTAATAGGTATGGGGTTTTCTTGCGGGGTGATGAAATGTTCTAGAATTGATTGTGGTGATGGCAAATATTTAGTAAATATGAATAAATTAACTTTTAATATTTCATTAGGCATTATTTTTATACTATGAGGAGGTATTTATTTTTAACTTTTTTATATTCCTAGGACAGTTTTTTTTTTTAAAGAACACATAAGGCACAATGCTCCTGGTACCTTATATGCTAAGCAAATATTTCTGTGCTCAGTCACACTTCCTGATTAATTTACTAATTTCTATCTTTGAACAAAATTAAGTCAATCAGAAATTCATTCCGACATTTTGCTTTTTGACAGAGTGCTCGCTTGTTGCCCGCGCTTGGTGAGTCTTGCCATGGCCTCAGGCCTTTTAAATCATCAAAAACCTTCCATCTCCGGGTTCGAGCACATTCCTCCTGCCTTTCAGCTCCCGGGGAGTATGGTTGGGGACTACAAAAGGCAGTGTACCACATGCGCTGGCTATCTTTTTTCTAGATATAATAGGCTGGCAATTTCATTCTTCCCTAATTGTAATAGTAGAGACAGTCTCGCTTCTTGCTTCAGCTGGTGTTCCGAACTTCCTAGGCTTCAAAAACGATCCGCCCACCTCGGCCTCCCAGAGAGCTACGGTTTACAGTCATTGGCCCACCGCGCCCGGTCCAAAATTTTTGATGTTTGAATAAACCTTAATTAAAAAATGATACCCTGAAGTTTTGAACTTTTTGAAAAATAATAAATATATATTTTCAGTTCATATTCCCTTTTGAAAACTTCCAAACTTTTGCCCGCCAATTCTGCTGAATTAAAAAAGACCCCAATCTTTCCGCAAGATCCAAAATATCCCCACTAGGTTTGAAGAAAACAAAAAAAAAAAAAAAGTGAAAGTTAATTAATATAAGAAAAAAAAAATAACCCCATTCTTCACTATTTTTCATTCACATTTGTACGCGCGGTCATAATACTTATAAACCTATCTTACTATATCCGTATCTCTTTATTAAATGCTGTCTAAAAGACCTAGGGGATAATTGGTAAATCTGGTAGGATGATGGTGGAATCCTAACTAAAATGTTTGCATGTGAGTCCTTCGTGTCCCAGAAGGAGTAAGTTACTTGGAGAGAACCCACCAACAATTACAGATTGTAGCAAACCCCATGTTCTCAACTGTGAAGCATGTTCTTGCCTCCCCCTAAGGGCGTATTGTCAATGGTGCTGGAATATTTTTTTTCAACTAGAGAGACTTAACTGGATGTCAGTGGTGATAAGGTCAGGAGTGTTGGCTTGGAAACATCACAATAAGACAGGACCAGCCCCTTTCATAAAGGCATATCCAGTCAAGAATGGGGTCTGAAGGCAGTTGGCGAGGGTTGACCTTAGTTCCAAGGACCCGGAAGTGGACATCCTATAACTTCATTTACGCAAGTATGTATTCAGTGAATAAGAGGCATGGGGACTTCTTGCAGCCAGGACTGCCTGAGTTGTGATGTCTGCAGCTGCTGGCCACTTCCGTTAGGCTGTATGCTTTGTAATCTAACCTGCTCTCTTTTTCCCCTTCTGTAAAAAGTAGGAAACTGAAGAAACAATAAGACCGTAACCTAGATTTATAGTGATGATGTGAGAGAGAGTTGACATCTTAAACATTATGTAAACCTCTTGGGATGCCTAGAAATACACTCTTGGTAAAAGCACTGCAAGACAGTTTAAGCATTTGTTAAGAGGTGAAACTCTTGGCTTTCAAGAAAGTATGATTCTTGTGCCGGGTACCTCCTGATTTATGAAAAGTTAAGCCCCAGGAAATCGCTATTTCTCCGATAAGTATGTTTGGGCTGATCTGGGCAGAAAGGCTGAAACAGTATATTTGGCTTTGGTCTAAGGATACTTGACTGAGCCAGTACCATATTTTATATTTGAAGTAGCTTTGTCCATCAGATTTGAAAGTCTGTTCATACTTCCGTAATTTTTTAAAAGAAATTAATTTTTTGTAATTAAAAAAACACAATGTTTTAAAAAAAATTTTTGGTAGAGCTTATAATTTGTTTTTTTCATCGATAATCCATCACCAAGTGGTTCAGGGGGCAACCCTAATTCTATTCCTTTAATGTTCTTAATACCATTTAAAAAATACATTAAGGATTTGGTATGTGTGTGATAATATTGGCCAGAACATACTATTTGTTTGTATGTAATTTTAAACACTTAAGTTTATTAACAACAAAACAGTTATGTATAGAAAATTACTTTATGTCTTTCTATCTATGTGTGCCATTCGATTATGTTCATTATTGCCACTTATCCCAATGAACCCCCGAAATAATATGGAAAGAAGGGAGAACCTCTGCGAGAAGGACACGCTCCCAGGATTGACACAGAAGAAGAGCAACATGATATATAAAAATTCTAGTGGTTAGCCCACCAGCTGAGGTTATTCTTTCTCCCGAAAGTCTTCAGACTATGGACCTTTGAATTGAGTGATGGAAGAAGAATTGTCGCTGTTGTGCGCTTATGTTGAAAAAACAGGAGACGGAGGTTTCGGGCAATTAACATATTTGGGTTATTGTGGTCTGCTTGTATCTTGTAAAGAAGACTGGTAAATCCTGAGAGGGGAAGAATCGGTGTACAACCACCAGAATGGCTCTGTTTTATTCAAGCGATGGGAATGCAGTGCAAAGGAGAATTGTTTGAAATCTTTTGAATTGCATTTAATTTAGGATATAGGACATTTACTGTGGGAGATAGAGGGCAGAGAAACTCCATGTTTTTGAAAAAATAAAGGTATTCAGATGAAGATACAAAAAAAGTAAAATGTGGAACTATTAATAGGTTTGACTAATGTCCTTGATAGTATCGATGTTTATATCTCTTAAGGATTAGAAATTCTGGAGTACACGCGCTGGTAAACGAGGTCCTTAATGAATCTGAATATAAAGTGGGTATGTTAAAAAGGCAAAACTGGAAAAGTGGTATTCTTAAATTAGGGTAACTTCGATGCAACTTTTAAAGACAACTTGGAAACAAATATTCTAAGAATAGGTGAATACTTGATGTAATGTATAAATGGTTGGGCTTCAACTTGGTTTTGTGATAAAGGGAAAGTGTATATTCCTTTCTTCCAAGATTATACTTGTTACATCATTCCTCATTTTTCTGGCTTCATAAGAGTAAGGTTCTGTCAATAAAGCCTTAATATTTTTGACGTTTATTTTTGATTCCCAAAGAAGGTGTCATTGTGGTATATGTGGAAATTCTTTGAATTGCTTGAAATGATTGCTATGTATGTGAATTGCTGGAACATTTCTGGAATATTTCTCTTCTGATTTGTGTGTTTTGATTTTGACTTTAAAGGAGATGGATCGTTAATAGTTCTTCTCCCCTTTCCCAGTTGTTAGATGGTGTGGAGTATGGCCGAATGATTTTTTCGTGTAGTAGGTAAAGTAGAGTCCCGTTACCAATTTTCGTGAAGTCATTTTTAATGAATGGCTTTTAACAGAGTAGGGTCGATGATAAATGTAGTTGCTGTATACTCCCAGTCAAAGCAGTTATTTTCTCTTTTAATTTAAAAGGCTTAAAAAAGCAGCCCGCTGGAAGACAGGGCTTATGTCTGGCTTGTAACCTCTGCCAGTTGGATGATTGGATTAACTTTCTAAGGGAGTAACTTTATGAATTTACCTTAGTGGAAATGAAAAATAAATAGATTTAAGTAGCTAAGAATGTATCCTTTTTCTAAAAAATAAAAAAGTTTAAGGATGTTATTAGATGTGTCAATGAGTAAGTAACTGAAACACAAAATACATAGAAACTGGAATGTGATTTGTAGTACAATTCTGTGCTTATGAGAAGACTATGTTAAATATTTTGTTGAAAAGCCACAATCACATTCACAAATCAATAGTGTTGTTGCTAATTTATTTTTATATCTATATATTGTAGTACAGTTATAAAGAACTATGGATACTGTAATTTCTGATACTCAGGAAGATATTATTGGTGGAAAATTAATTTTATCTTTGTTAGAGATGAAAGTAGGCTACTTTATGTTAAGGATCTTACCTAACATGGTTGGAGCATATAAGCAATGGTCTACAT